TTTTTTTTGTGCCTCCTCTGTGGTTTGTAGCAATCACAGTCTGATAAATGTCTGTCTCTTGGAACCATGAACTTTCTTCCCTAGAACAGAAAATCTTCACAACAATTTCTCCCCATCATTTGTCTTGCCAAACTTTTCCAAACTAACTTTTGCTGATGCTTTCTTGTAACATGATGGTCCTGTCAATTCTTCTCTGAACCAGCAGTAGTAAACCCTTCGTCCCAGGTAGCAGCATCACTGCAGTCACCAACATGATGAGAAGGAGCTGGCAACGTGGAGTAGTAGCCACTGCTTCCATGGTCCCACCACTGTTTGTGGCTCAGTCCAGGCCAAAGCTTCTCCCAAGCCTCCTAGGCTAGCCTCAAACTCGGGATCCTACTGCCTCTGTCTCCTTCAGCAAATCCTACCGGCGTGCACCACCACAACTGGCTGAGTGTAGGTTGGGCCTGAGGTGGGGCTCACAAATTCACAGGCAAACAGCTTTTTCATGAATTTGTAACACAAACACTGGGCGCCAGATGTAGATGTAACCAACGGTCTTATTAAATAAGAAACACAGAACCAATGCAAAAGAGAAAGCCGAGAGGTCAGAGCTCAGAGCTAAAATCTTACCCTTCCTCCTTCGAGCTCCTAGCTTCCCTAAAGAGAGCTACTTCTGGTGTGTATGTCTATACATAGTCTTTTGTTCTGCCTTCTCATTGGTTGTAAACCCAAACACGTGACTGCCTCGTCACTGTCTGTATGTTCAGCCCTCTAGGTCTTAAAGGCATATATCTCCAATGCTGGCTATATGCCTGAACACACAGAGATCTACCTAGCTCTTCTACCACGTGCTGGGATTAAAGGTGTGTGCCACCACCGCCACACTCTTACTATGGCTCAATAGCTCTGACCCCCGGGGAACTTTATTTATTAACATACAATCAAAATCACATTTCAGTACAATTAGAATACCACCACACACTACCACAATTTTGGACCCAAATTTGAAATAAGCTTTATTAAATATTGGTCAGAAGATAGGCACTAGCCAGGTCCATACCCAGGATTCCTAGAGAATGTCCAGGAATTATGTTAGTCAGGTACTTATAAAAGCAAAACCCACAAAGCTACATACTTCCTCCTTTCATCCAATCAGGGACAAACATATATATACTGATGTACTTCCTGCCTTTGTACCTCCCACCAATGTGTGATCAAGCACATCCTGTGCAGTTGGGTCAACCAACCTTGTTTATGAAAGTAAAAACAAATGGCTTGTTATCTCATATGAACAGCCCCCAACATTCTAGAAAGTTATCTCTCCTTGCACAAGTAGGGTTTGCATGTTAGAGGCACTTTTGTTTAAGAGAACTCTTAGGCACAGCAATTTAAACTTAAAACAACTTGAGCCCTCACAATATCTTGATTTGAAATCTATTACAATGAAATTCAAACAGCATAAAAACAGACACACCAGCTAATGGCACAGAAATTGTGCCAAGTAATTTTTTCTTTGGTTTCAAAAAAATAGAAATAGAAAACCAATGCTGTTGAGAAACTAGATATCCATATGTAATATATTGGAGTCATACCCTTGTCTCACACTATATATAAAATAAACTTAGTGGACTAAAACTTTAAAGGTAAACTTGAACCTATAAAATTACTAGAAGGAAACGAGAGTAAAATGTGACTTCCTGAACACAGAAGAAAACCAAAACAGACAACAAAAAAAATGAAATACAAATAGTATAACCCAAATTTAAAAAGCTTCCTCATAGCGACATGTTCAGAACGAAGAAGTAGTCTATAGAATGAAAAAAATTTTAAGTTATATATTTAATAAGGCTTGGTTATATAAATATAAGGTATTCACACTACTAAAAATATGATAACCTGATATAAAAATAAAAAAGAATCTAAATAAACCTATAGTCAGCAAGTGTATGAAAAAATGTCAAACACCACTAATTATCAAAACAATGTAAATCAGTATTTCATCTAAATGTCACTTCAAATATATTTGAACGGCTATTATCAAATACGGAAGAAGTAATACGTGTTGCTAAATATGTGGAACTTGTTAGAGTATTTAAGGCAGCCATTGAAAGACAGAAGGTAGAAAGAGAGGTGTGGTCTGACCTTGGGCAGGATTATGTTTATTCAAGGCAAAGTGACATCTTGTTACCCACATGTGTGGATGGCCAAAAGTCTTTTAGCATGAAACTATCAGAAGATAAGGACATTTATATGCATTTATATGGTGGGAATTTAAATTAATGCACTCATTATGAAAAGCAGCACAGTGTCTCCTTAAAAATGCCAAAGTATATCTACTACATATTCAGCAAGTCTAGTCTTCAGGATATATTTACAGCCAATGAAATGGGTATGGTGAAGAGGTACTGAAGTATCATATTAATTTCATAGTCATTCACAGTTCTGACACAGACTCAACCTAACTATCCATTAAAAATGGATAGCTAATTAGGATAAGTATTAGGCCTATCCAGCAAGGCTTTTATTTTTGTTATGATTGTTCAGGTCTATTATTTTCATTGCTCCATTTTCTTACCTCTAATACATATCTGTGACTTTCTACTGTTTCACTTGTTTTAAGAGAATGCAATACTGGCTAAAGCAGCTTTAACATGATGCTTAAAATCTTTATCTGATAATGAAAATGTTTAATCTGGGGGTAATTGTCACCAGTAGATTTTCTTACTCTATTCCTGATTTTTCTTGAACTTATAATTTTTCTGGGTGTTATTTGGTGGATGCTTCATTGTTTCCCTGTTAGTGTTTAGTATTAGGGAATTCAGATCCCATTAATACATACATACATACATACACACACACACACACACACACACACACACACACACACACACACACACATATATATTTATATTTATATACATACATATATACACATTTATATATATAAATTCTTGCTGGAGGTGAGATTTGAGAGTTTATAGCCTTTTCATACCTCCATTTTGCTCTCTCCGACTTGTGTTTGCAGTTGTGTATATGATCTCTCAGCTTCTTGTTCCAAGTGCCTGCTGGTATGCCTCCTCTACCAGTATGATCTCTCCTTCTGAACCACAAGCCAAAATAAACTCTTTATTCTATGATTTGCTTTTGGTTATAGTATTTTATCACAACAACAGAAAATTAACTAATATAGTCTTATGAACTTTTCAGATTTAACAGTTTTTAAATTTTTATACCAGGCTTTCATAGAATGTACTTTTAGTCACAATCTAATGATTGGAGCTGTTTCAATGTTGTTTGATCACTTCATTTATCTGGTGTTCCTATAATGCTATGTGAGATATCAAATAGTTATACATTACTTGGGTGCCTTTTCCCTGTAATCAAAACAGAAAATCAAGAACATAGAAACGAAGAGAACCTCAACTGTGCCACCTAGCAAATGGTCTTGACAAATATAGGACAATATGCTCCATAGAACGCCAATTCTGTGGAGAGTCCTAGACAGTTGACTTTAACAATTAATATCTGTATTGCACATCTTTCCACATTTTTCTCTATTCTTGAAGCTCAACATGAATTCATCACTGGAAAGTACAGAGAATGATAGTAAATATAATAAGGCTAACACCAAACTTCAAGACTCAGTGGGGACCATCAAAAGGTATAAAACCTGTATGATATTGATTCTTTTCAGAAAATAACAAGCCTCCAGTGATGCTGGACATTGTCTGTAAAAGGGAGTCACAAAGTTAGTCATAAACTATGTAACATCACTCATGTTCTGATAGATATATTAGGTTCAAGGTCACCTTTATAAATGTGATTACTGACAATGTGGATTGACAAAAATAGAACTCATTGGAATCTAAACAAAATGGTTGATTCCTTAAAATGTCTCATTAATCAGCATTTAATTTAAAACATTTTCTATCTTAACTTCCTTAAGGTCACTTGTGTTTATGGTCCAAACTGATACCACAGTTGCATGGATTTCCTACTCTCATGCCAAAACAAGCTGACTTTTATCACTTGAATTAGCTTCTTTTTCTGAGAAAGAACACAATGATGTACTCTGATGGTAACATTTTACTGTTTATATCTATTTCATCATATCAATATTACTATTGCTAAGTATTCAGGAAAATTATTGCTGTTTATACTTTGCCAATTCAGACATCAGAGCCTTTACTAATATGGTGAATATTACAAGACTGCCATTTTATTCTCTTTTGTAATTCTAGGACATTTTCTTCTTCCTTAAGACTCCCTAGATGAGAACTATGTGTTGAGACTGATGAAAATGTTCTTCTTCATTGTTGTGATGAAGAGAAGTTTGACTCTCCTGAGATATAGCTTGCCTGAACATTAGAGTCCTCAGAAGGATGGCTAGAGAACATCACTCTTAATAGTAGGTTAGAGAGTTATGGTAAGAGAAATTTCCCTTGTCTATTGAGCCCACACCTAATTACTCTAGTCACAGGTCCATATTTTACTGTATTTTTGTGAACTCTAATTGAAATGTTGTGACCACTTCTTGTAGAATGTCATGTAGTGTAGTGGGTAGCTGTTCTTGCAATCCAGCATCCAGGATCATAAGGTAGCCAAGAGAGAGCAAGCACATATGCATCTCAGGTTATAAGGGTCCAAAGAGTCCATACCCCATGGGCAGGTCATATATGCAAGTGTAGCAATTACCTGCTACCTCACTAGGGGGCAGTGCTTCAAAGTCAAAGCTGGAACAGCTACCCACTACAATGTAGCATAACCCTTTTTTTCCTCTATAAATTGAGAGATTCTCAAGCTCCTGGAATTTGAATGTTGTAATCAATCTTTAGAAAATTGTTCTTTTATCCCTCCATAATGGCTTTTGGAAACTTCTTCCACATTCAATTAATGGATCAGTTAAGCCTCAAATTGTAAGATAATCTGATTTGGTGATTGAAAGTGCAGATTTTGCTGTATATTGTTGTTAATGGAATCTTGACCATTCCCAGGATGATTCCATTTAATTTGTCTGGTAGAACTTATTGGAAAATATTTGATCTGATGGAGGCTATAGACAAACACACTAACTGTTGAAAAATATTGTAGGAGATGTGTTACCATGGTGGCAGGCACATGTGAAACCTTCTATCCCATAGGCAGCAGACGAATGAGCACATGCTTCTATATGTCTCATCTTCCAATAGGGTTATGCTGTGGTCAAAGATCAGCAAGGACAAAACACTGGGTTTATATGAAAGTATGTTTCCTCAGCATGAGATGGGAAAGGAAGGAAAATATCAGGAATGGTTTCTGATATTACATCTTCAGGGACTAATGGGAATTCTTAAGTTGCTAAAAATTTTATATTTAAGTTATTGGCATATTATAGTTTCAAGTATTACATAATGGTAGTCTGAAAGATACTGTCTGTGCAACAAAGAAGCTGGGTCACTGATGTTTGTGAGTGGTCTCTGAAACTGAGTGTGGCAGGTTAGTAGGTCCCAAGGCAATGTGTTCTAGAGTACTTAGATCCCAACCCTTTTCTGCAAGTTCTTTTTTTTTAAAAAAAAAAAAGAACAAAACATGTTTCAGTGATGGCTATTGTAATTGATCTTTTCAAAAATTCTAGAAAAAATGCATTGTGAAATCAATTCTCTAAAAATGGAGGATCAACACATTAAGTAAAACACAGTTGGAGTTTAGTCACTCTCCTTTGTACACGCAGTGAAGACTGTGGTATTGGAACCCTATATGCTTGCATAAATCAGAAAGACTAAACTGGGTAGTGATCTGTATATACCTGATTGGAGTAGAAAGAATGGCACTTAGCACTCAGGTAATGGAACAAATATATATGTGGTAAGGAGACCCTGGAGTATCATGTCATGATCAGGGAAAAAGAAAAAGTTGCATTTTATTTATATTATTTTATTTATATTTAATACACATGCAACACACATGCAAACACACACACACACACACACACACACACACACACACACACACACATTAGCTGTCCACACTTTTGCTTGAACTATTAGGATCTTTTTCATGATGTTTGTTTTCCTCAAAGCAAAAAAAAAAAAAAATAATGCCTCATTTTACTATGAATATTGTTTCCACTTTCTGTTTTTGTAGTAAGTAAAAGAGGTCTGGAAAAAAAAACAGGAAACATGATATATTTATAATCTTCATAGTACACTTTAATCCACTTACCAATTAGTCTGTAAGATTGAAACATTATTTCTCTAGGGTTTTCTCACAAGCTAAAGCAATTTACACACTGGGCTTTCCAAAAAAATTTCTTTCCTTACCCTTAGATGAGAATGGAAGCAAATTTCTCCAGATTCACGTGGTACATTAGACATTTTTAGCCAGAAACTAATCTAATTCCTAATTCTTATGTTTATTTTGGTTTTCTTGGTGACTTTTACATACCCTCAGTGGTTCCTCAATGTGTTTACAGATAGGTACGAGTTATGAGTGTTGTGTTGGATGTGATGAGGATATTCTGAAACTGTTATTTTAGAAAATACTTATAAACTACTATATTTCAGTAAATTAACTGATTGTCTTCTATAGACAACACAGAAAATAAGTGGTAAATCCCCCACAACAATTTTTTAAGTAAGCATTCCACTAGGGAAGTTTAGCTCCCCAGCTCTCTAAACTTCCCTGTGCTTTATAGATTGAAGTGATGTTGATGAGAAGGGACATGTTACTGCTTGGAAATCTTACCAAGAAGCTCAAAAGTAGCAAGCTTTGTTGTAAACAGTAGTTATAGAAGGTTTGTTTCTTTCTCTATACAGAGGTAATGATATCATTGTCTTATGTAATTCTTTATATTAACTTCAATGGTTCATTAACAAATATGTCTGTGTAGTTCCTTTGGAGGAAACAGTTATGGATCTTCTTCGAGAATGATATATACATCTATAAACTTAGCTAGACAGGGTCCCCATCCATATATGATCCATATATGTGTCAGTAAGAATTTTCAAGACCAAATATCTTATATTTGATATATAATCATGTATTTACAGTAGTGTTCTATTACTCCAGCCCATAATGATTTCAAAACTCTGTTCAACAGGGAGCATTATGAAGTTCAACTGTCAAAGAATGATTTATGGTAAGTTTGCAAGCTGCTTTCCTTTTGATAATAATCTAAACAAGTAGAAATATAGTAATTGTCTTATTTCTTGAATGATATTTCTTTCCTTCTACAATGACTGCAATTTCTTTCTCAAATACATACATATGAAGTTCAACAGACAAACTTCTGTAATACCCTGACATAATCTGAACACTGTGTTCCTGTGAGTACAGATGTAAACACTTAACCTAAGGGCCTCCAGCAAAGTTCTACTTGTTTTAGAGCTACTGCCTTGGTTCCTCTACCACAATACAACACCCTTCAGTTTTCTTAAGCTTATAAACTGTTGATTAACTCTTACTTTGTACAGATAATGCATTTAAACATAAAGCAATATGTAGGGCTGTGATCGCTCTTGAAACTTTCTTAAAATAGATGAGATTTGAATCTTAAGCCTCTTTAATTATACTATAATAATGCAGAGCAAGGGATTCAGTTCTACATCCCTACATTTACACACCAGAGTACCTTTGGGAGTTAACAGTATGTTACCAAAGCTCAGAATCTTCACAGGTAATTCCAGATCAAGGCTTTCTTGGTTGAAGGATTTAGATGAACATATGTAAATACAATGAAGATCTGTGACAAAGTATACAGCAGATAACTTTGGGCAACAATTCTTTTGTGACACGTGTTTGTTTACTATAATTAATTGATCCTTTGACAGTTTCAAGCATGTATTATACATTCTGGTCACACTCAACCTTTTCTTATCTGTCATCTATCTCCTCCAAATCTGCTCTCCATAGAAGGCCCCTTCTCACTATCATTCCTTTTTAACTTTGTTTTTCTTTTATGATCCACTGACTTTAACCAGGGCTATGCGTATGACAATGAATGTAGAGCTATGCACTGGAGCATGGTTAAGTCACTAGTGGTTCCAGCATTGAAAATATAACAGCTCTTCCCTTAGAAGCCATCTACTGCTAATAGTTCCCCAGGGCAGTGCCAGGCTTCATGAGCCTCTCACCTATCCATGACTGAATGTTTTCTGCAGGTTCTGCATAGGTAACACAGTTTTCATTTATCCATTGCATAATGATTACATAATCAAATATCTTTGTTATTTTGACACATAGAAATTTCTAGTTACATTGAGGTTATTGAGAAATAATTTTACATTGCCAACATTATTCAATATCATCAATAAAAATATTTAAAACATGTAGTTAGAGCCTGCAGAGATGACTCAGGAGTTAAGAGCATGAGCCAAGTTTGGTTCACATTACCCACATGAGGATGCTCATTACTACCTGTAATTCCAGCTCCAGGAGTTCTTATGTGTCTGGCCTCTGTGTGTCCCTTAATCCACATACACATACCCACATGTAGACACACATATTTATACATAATTTAAAAATAAAATAGTTATAATATACCATGTCTATAGATGTATTTCAGAGGAAGAATACTTAGAATGCTCAATATTGCTTTGAGGTGGATTTTACACTATTTTTAATCATGCAATTTAATTTAATCCATTTTACGTAGGTATTTAGATGGGCTAGTATAGTATCCACAGACTAGTTTTGCTAAGACAGTAGATTTACGTTGCAAACAAACACTTAGAGGTAGTAAGGAAGCTAACAGGAGAGATAAATTTACCCACTGGGTAGTTTCACAAGTAATACTAGATGATGAAAGATTCAGTGCAGCACCTGGTCTAGTAGCACCTACCTTTTCCAGAACTTCTCACCATGTTGGAAGCAATGTGTATCTTCTTCTAAGCATTCCTAAAGTAGATGAATGGGTAGATAGTTGTCTTAGTTACGGTTTCTATTGTTGTGAAGAGACAATATGACCATGGCATCTCTTATAAACGAAAACATTTAATTGGTATGGTACACTTAATGTTCAGAGGCTTACTCCATTATCATCATGGAGGGAAGCAAGGCACTGTGCAAACAGACCTGTTGTTGGAGAAGGAGCTGAGAGTTCTTACATCTTGACCCATAGGCAATAGAAAGTACACTGAGACACTGGGCATGGCTTAAGCATATATGAGACTTCAAAGCCAGCCTCCACAGTGACACACTTCCTCCAACAAGGCCATATATACTCCAAAAAGGACATACCTACTAATAGTGCAACTCTTTATGAGCTTATGGGGGCCAATTACATTTAAACTACTACAGTAGTATTACATACTTACAACCTATAATGACATAGAATATACATTAACTTTCCAAAAGAGACAAAAAATAATATATATCAGAGCACAGTGAACCAAAGAAAGACCAAAACCAGAAAATGATTATTCTGTCAGTATTATGCTGGATCATCCTTAAGTAGCACTTACATTCCAAACAGGACCTTAAAAGAGGATCATTATATGGCTAAACAAACATATTTTTTTTCTCCACAAAGTACTTCCTATTGCCTTGGCTTCCACAGAGAGGGGATCTCTAGGTCAGACTACCTATGCAATGACATCTTTAGTCTGGCTTGCTTTTTCCTCATAGCTAGCATTCTTAAAGAAAGAGCTGGCAGGGTATGTCCAGGAGGTGTATTTTCTCTACAATTAGCTAATTTGCTTAGTGTATATGGGAGAAGTTAATATTATCTAGACCTGGTCCATGGCTAATTTGGTTTGACCAGAGTCTTGGAAAGAAAAAGAATCTCAGGGGAAGGATAGTTGATAGTGATAATGGTCACCTATTTTCCCAGCCACACACACGAACATTTTCCTATAAGGATGATCTTGTTGCAATAGATTAGGTTGCAAACATATTTTGCCAACTGGAACTTTTAGGAGCCTTTCTTACATTTCAGTGAGTATTAAAAGAGCATGTCTTCACTGTTTTGTATACAGTGATAACATTTTTATTTTGTGAAATTTGGTTGTAATCAAACATAAATATGTTTATCTTACGAGCATAATGATTACATGATACTCTCTGTCCACTGGACAGGAGAATGTCTGTGTGACAGAAGATTCAGCACACGTTTTACTTCCAAATTTACACATGACACAACATACTCATACTTCATGGATATTTCATTAGAGTACAAGATAGAGCGTACACTCTTGTTATTGTTATATGTTATTATTCATTGTTTTTTTCTGTTGGGTGATGATACAAACCAGAAAGAAAGAGCAGTTGATGTCCTGATTATAACTCTGAATGAATGGGAAACTTCTTTCAGTCAAGTTATCCATTCCTTTTGGAATTTTGCTAGGTGTGGTGAATATGTGAATAAGGACCTACATTTTTCAGGAAAAGGACTCAAGATGCATATGTCTTGATAGTACTTGTACTCAAGTTTGATGACATTTGGTTGCAGCCTAACAGAATAAAATCTTACCCAAGCTTCAGATGGATGTGGTTAGTTATGGAAAATTACAGTATTGTTGTCATAATGAGTGTTTCTGCTTTGGGAAGTTCTTATTGGACTTAATCTCCTTCTATTAAAGCAACATATTTAAGACCAGCATTTGTATAATTCATTGAATGAACTTTTACTTATTTTTAGTCACATATTTTTATGTTTACTGTTGTGACATTAACCATATCTTATCATGAGTTTTAAATAAGTTCTATTCATGATTAAATGTATGAGGTTTTTTAATTACTCTGAATAGCTTACTCCTCTAAATAGTTAAAGATAAATTTTTTTTAAATAAAATTAGAAACATGAATTTTACTCAGACTCAGATGATCCACTGAGTTTTGGAGTACATAAAAGGTGAAGTACCTGAAAGGAGTCTCAAAAATATAAACATAAATGGAATAGATATTTATGGCTTCAGGGTTGTATAAATAAAGAACAGTTTTTAAATGAAATCAAAATGAAAGAAACAATGTATTTTATGGATTTCATGTAGATTTGTCTGTGACTCTGGAAACATTGTTTCCTTTTGGTTTTCTACTCAGAAGACCTACTCCAGGAATTTCTTCAGATAATGACTAAGAGCAAGAAATATCTGAAAGAAGACTCCTCAGACCAAAATCTCTTCACCATATATTATACAAAAGCCATACTCTGAAGGTATATCTATTAGTTACTTTCCTAATACTGTGATAAAAAATTAACAAGATAATTTATTAAATAAACTAAATATTTAATTTGGCTTATGGTTCTAGAGGGTTAGAGTTCATGACCAGAAAGTAAAGGCATGGCCGCAGGAAAATGTGAGATGATGTATCTTAATCTATAAGCAGGAGACAGAGAGTACACTGGAAATATCAAGAATCTTTTGAAACTTCAAAAGCTGCTCTCAGTGTCAGACATCCTCCAACAAAGTCACTCCTAATCCTTTCCCAGAAGGTTTACCACTTGGAAAACAAGTATTGAAACATATGAGACAATTGGTGCCAACTTTTCATTCAAACCACACATTACATTCTCTGATCCTTATATAGGCTAATGGTCATATCATGATGCAAAATATATTTAGTCCAACCTAAAAAGTCCCATAATATTTCACAGTTTCAACACTGTTTTAAAGCCCAAAGTCTCTTCTGAGACATGAAATAATCTTTTATTTACAACGCTCTGTAAAATCAAAATGCAAATTGCATGCTTCTAACATTTAATGTCATAGAATATTCATTACCATTCTAACAGGGATAAATAAGAGAATAGTGTAGCAATACTGGAACAAAGCAAGACCAAAACCCAGGAGGGCAAAATCCAAATCCTGTAGCTCCATGTCTGATGTCAGAGGTTTTAGACTTCTCTAGCCTACCAGTGTCCTGCCTGCAATGTGTATCTGTTCCTCGGGCTGGACATTCCCTGTCTTCAATTCTATTTTGTAGATACCCCACAGTTCTGTTGCATGCAATACCTTGGGGTCTCTAACACCATGCAAACTTCACTTTGACAACTTTATGCCATTGTTTCTCAGGGCCTCCTTTCCTCTCAGGGTCCTTGTGTAGGGACTTCCCTACAATATTGCCTGGCCTCATTGGCTCTTCTTCACCAGATAGGAAGACTGTACAACTTCTTTACCTGTTTATCCCTCATGACTCTAAAACTAGAACCACATACATGAGACTTCCAAGTTTGGATGCCCACTTAGGATGGTGCCTGGCCCTCTTAAATTTCATTTGCACCAACTTTTATTTACTGTTGCTTTTTAGGATCACAAACTGGAAGCTTAGCTGGCTGATGTCATGTCCTCAGGGAACTCTTTACTTTTATCCCATTGTGGATTAGGCTTCTCCTTGATATTCTTATCTCTTTCAGCACAAGACTTGCTTTCAACATTAAATTTTCTAGTGCTCTTTTCCCCTTTGAAGTGTACATTTGTATTTCTTTCTGCCACATTTGAGCTTCAACATTATAACCTGCATAAAAGTGATTAATAATAATCACATGACATAAACAATACTCAGTTGACTTAAAAGTCTTCCAGGAAGTTATTTCATTGCTTTTCAATTTAGCTTTAGGCAAATTCTTAGGACAAGTCCATTAGGCAGCCAAATTCCTTTCCAAAATATCACAAGACTTGTCTATATCCCATTTGCTAATAGTAGTCCTTTCTAAAAGTTCTTGAGCCAGACCTCTATAGTTCACTTTGCTCTTAGCACTGCTGTCTTCCAATATCCTCCTAGGACAGTGTATTAAACTCTTCTTACAGCATTATACCATTTTTCTAGTCCAAAGTTTCAAAACATTCCACACCTCTGCAAAAAATAATAGTGAGGTTCTTCACAGGAATACACCATTCCTGTTATCAATTTCTGTTTTACTTACTTTCTTTTTGTTTACTTACTTTTTCTTTACTTACTTTTTTTTATTGTTTGTTTGTTTTTTGAGACAGGGTTTCTCTGTGTAGTTTTGGTGTCTGTCCTGGATCTTGCTCTGTAGACCAGGCTGGTCTTGAACTCACAGAAATCCACCTGGCTCTGCCTCCCAAGTGATGGGATTAAAGGCATGCACCACCACCACCCATCTTACTTACTTTCTTTATTGCTGTAATAAAACACCATGACCAAAGCAGCTTATGAAATAAACAGTTTAATTGAACTCTAGTTCCAGAGTATTAGAGTCTGTAACGGCAGAGTAAGACATGGCAGCAAGAACATATGAAATATCAAATCTTGATCTACAAGCATAAGGCAGAGAGCACACTGGTAATGGTATGAGACTTTTGAAACCCCAAAGCCCACCTCAGGTGACATACCTCCTCCAACCAGACCATGGCTCTTATTCCTTCCCAGATTGTTCTACTAATTGAGGAACTAAGTACTTAAACATGGAGCCAATAGAGGGTATTATCATTTAAACCATCACAGAAAGGTTTTTGGTAAGCATACTCTTCACTTTATAGAAGTCTTATCTGCATAGAAAATGAATTTTTAATTTCCTGAAATGGATAACATTTGTGTATACTCTACTTAAATCCATTGGCCAAACTATAAAATAAGCTAATAACTAGAGTGTTTTTAAAAAACATGTATCTTTGTAGCATTTCTACATCTCAATTTATGTTGTCACTGTGAAGGAATTCTTTGACTTTCTGCTGCTCATGTGTTGTCACTATGAAGGATTTATTTGATTTTTTTCAGCTCTTATCAAATAGACTAAACTCCTACTGAAGGCTGTTTCCATTGTGTGGCTAGAAAATTACTTTATGTGTGAGACACAGTGGAATCTCTAGTAAGTGGAAAATAGAAACCTCCCAAGACCTGACAAATAATGTCTGATATAATTGACCTAGAATTTTAGGCTATAGAATAAAGGTGAAAAGAAGAAAGCACAAAGTCCAAAAAAATCCAAAGTTCCTGGATGGTGGCTGTTACTTTTAACTAGAAGAAGGAGGAGAAAGGGAAGAAGAAGAGGAAGAGGGATAGGAAGAAGAGGAGGAGGAGAAAGAGAAGAAGAGGAGAAGAAAGAAGGATAATTATAATAATAATAATAATAATAATAATAATAATAATAATAATAAAGACACACCAGCATTTGCCTTTCTTTTTTAAAAAAAATATTTTTATTTTATAATTACTTTAATTTTACATATCAGCCACAGATTCCCTTGTCCTCCCTCCTCCCACCCCCAGCCTTCCCCCGAACCCACCCCTCATTCCCACCTCCTCCAAGTCAAGGTCTCCCCTGGGGAGTCAGCCCAACCTGGTAGATTCAGTTGAGGCAGGTCCAGTCCCCTCCTAAGCATTTGCCTTTCTTAAGAAGTTTCAAAATAACTTTTTCTGGCCACAGAATGAATCCCAGCTTCTGCCCAAGAGCCTTTCTTCATGTATTAAGAAGATCTGTTCTAGCACATGTTGGTATACAGTCAAGTAGTTTAAAGCTCTCTTTCTTCTTAGGATATCTGATCCTAACCTATCAAATTTCCCTTTTTGTCCTGGCAGATGATACCAGCTGTGATAAGGTGGAAACATAATAGATGGTGCCATCTCTTCTACCAGCAGATTCACCAAGACAGTCTTCACTATACATGCTGATGCCTCTTTCCTGTGTAGCAGCAGACACCACCTGCAGATAAGAAATGCTTAACTGAGAAATGCTCATGTTGGGATATCATCGATGAAACTTTAATTTGGGCATGGTGACTGTTTCCCTTGCTGCCACTTGACTCAATCCCAGGAGCCTCAGTAGAGGAAATAATATTGCATGAGAAGCTCAAAATGGTGGAAATATTCAGTGCTCCTATAAATATACACTGCTAATTTTAAAAATACGAGATATTAAAAAAGAACTGCATGATTTAAAAAAAAAAACCTCAAAGTATACTTATATGATACATAAATTATGGGCCTTCTCTCTTTCAAGAGAATTGAAATTTTCCTACAGTTTCCCCCCATTAAGGAAGGGTTATACATGCTCTTAAGCAGATAAATATATGCAAAAATGCGCACACTTTCTGGGGGAACTTCTAGCAGTGGGGCCATATTCTTATGCAAATTGCTACTTTTATTTAAGAGTCTTTTTGATGAGCTTTTCTATTTCAGTACTACATTAATATCTATGTCATTTTTTGAATGACTGCATGACTGCTTTGTAGATGAAATAGAATTAAATGTTTTAAGCATTGCCCATTCATAGACATTTATGTAGATGCCAAATTTCTGTGCAATGAACTTCCATATATATATATATATGTATATACATATATATGTTCATATATATGTATATTCACACATACATATATTATCAATAATTCTGTATTTGTCTCCTCTATTACAGTAAAATCACCTAGTACTTAAATTATTAAAATTAAGAATATATTAACACTTAATTTTTTTTAATTATCACAATTCCTTTTAAATGTGCTCAATAGCTTTCTCTTCAATGGCAATGCCTTAGAATACCATCCTCATAATCCACATACAATGGATTTTACAAATATTTGAAATCTCTTCCAATGTGTTAGTCCAACCTATTGTCTTAAATTGTATTTATTTTATTTTTGAGTTTGATCATTTTCATGTTTATTAGCCATCTGTATTTTTTGATTTCTTCTTTATGTCAAAGTTTGAGAGTATGTGGAGGTTTTAGTCTCTTTTAAAAATCATATTTACAACTGGGGAAAATAAGATTTTGGATTGTCAAACATTACATGTTTTTCACACTTTTGAACTTTGTTTTGTTATAAGAATGTGTATAATTGTTACATGTCCAACTATAACCATGTTTGCTTTTATGGCTTCTGAGTTTCATGTCATTTTTGAAAAAAAAAATATTCTGAGCCCATAAAGCCCCTCTCCTTTGTTAATCCTAATTCTTTTGTGTTTTTTAATTCAAATTCTATGTCATGAAAAGTATTTTGTTTTAAAATCTTAAAGTTGCAAGTTACTTGCCATTACTTATGATTATTTGCCAATAATTGCCCATTTATCTGTAATGCCATCTCGCACATGTGCTGTATTCATCTGTGAATGGCTCCATTTTTGTTCTGTGGGTACGTGTGTCTCTTCTTCCGCCTCCTGTCTCATGTGTCTTCTTGTTGGAAGAAATTACAGTTTAGACTGCAATTTCATCAACCTTAATAAATTAATTTGGGGAAACTGTTTTTAAATAATATTGTCTTCATAATTAAGGACAAGGTATGTCTCTTTTATTAAACATTTGATTACTGTTTATATTTTCACCATGATGTTGGGTTTTTCTTTTCTTTTACTTGCTTGTTCATTTTTATGTATCTGAAACTTTTGTTTTGTTTTATTTTGTTTTTTAGATTTTGTTTTGTCTGGGGAGGTTAAGTGGCCACGTTACTAGTGATTGTTTTCAGAATGTACCCCAAATTCTTTGCAAATATTGATTTTCCTCCTCCCAATTGATATTGATTTTGGTTATTTTGATAAAATTCCCCCGGACTGGTACTTTCAGAGCACTTAAAAATTTTGTGGAAATATTACTCACACTTGATTCAAATGATATTTAACAAGTGCTTCTTAGGTTGAATAGCACATTGCTGCTGGTCTATGCTTCCAAAAGACCACCTGAAAGAGCTATGATCAAGCAAAGTTGAGTTTATTAAACTTACTGCAGCAAGGGAAAACACCACCTTAACAGGGTTTAATAGTGGTTGAAAGACAAAAAATGAAGGGCCTTTGGATCTGGGTTTCTATGGTTTAAAACACAGACATGATTATGAATGCATAGTTCAGCATGCGATACTTTAAAATGAATGGGGGTGTGGTGAGATTCTTAATGTGCTTCTTGATAATCAAACTGTTATCTAAGTGAGCTATTTCTCTTAATAGATATTTATAATGACAGAAGAGCTATTGCCTATGAGAGAAATAGAATTTATCAGTTTATAGTTCTGTCTTGCTAAGCAGGACTTACTAGGGTTGGTATCAGGTCTTATTCCCAAAAGGTAAGTTATTTTTTTTAATGTGAGTGGTTTTAAGTGTCAATGTAAGATTATAGCTTTTAACTCTGAGATATTTGGTATATTCTGTTAGAAAAGTCTTCCTTCCACGTTTTATATTTTTCTAAAGAATTTGAATCAAACCTAGGTGGAAGATGTAATTGTTCCTTTTTACCCAAATAATTGTACTATTCTTTTTTGAATTATTAATTGCTGTACAATATTATTTTTCAATTTTTAGAAATCCTTTTATACCATGAGTGAGCATACTCTTGTTTTGCTTAATTCTTTTTATTTACTACTGAGCTATAGACACTTAAATTTGATTTGAAATTTTTGAGTGTATATGATTATATGAAATCACTTTTCCATTGACTTTTCTTTTCTACTTTGGTGTTAGCACTTCTGATTATGTTTAAACAATGTAGAGAATTTTCTTTATGATGCTCAATGAGTTGGTACCATGATTACTTGAGCACATCAGTGAAATCAGCTGCTGTACAGTGGTTGTCCATGTAAATAAGACTGTATAGTTTTGCTCCCATCTTACTAGTTATTGTTCATTTCATATCTGGTGTCTTCTGTTTAACACTTTTCTCATAGAGGATCACAGTGCACACAGACTTTCTATCACACTATTTAAACTGTGCCTTTTTAAAGGAGCAAGTTACAAAATGGGTTTTTAGAATTGCCAGGTTTTTCCCTCTCTTCCACAATCAAGATTTTAGCATTGTTTTTAAGTTTATAAAAAGTCCATATATGTGTGTGTGTGTTTTCCCTTTGTGCTTTGCCTCTTTTAGTAAGAAATGCTTAAACACTTGTAAAGTATTCATTTCCATTTGTTCTTAGTAATTAAAAATGTGCTTTCTTATGTACTCTCTGAAATTATAAGCATGGAGCAGGAGAGGAAAGGATGGTGAAGTTGTACATACCAGGGCAAGAGCCCATGTTACAACATGATTGATCTTTGCTGGATATTCTTCATGTTATTTAAAAAAACATTTTTTTAAATGAGAGGATGAGTAGGTGGTTTAGTTGTTAAGGTCTTGAATTCAAATCCCAGAACCCATGTTTAAAAAGCTGGATGTGGTGATACATCCTTATAATCTCCTTGATAGAAATCAGAGCCAGGTTGATCCTTGGGGCTCACTAGGCATCCAGCCCATCTTAATTAGTGGCCTCCAGACCAATGAGAAACCCTGTCTCAAAGCAAGCAAACAAACAAACAAACAAAAAACTACAGACATGCTAAAGCAGATTGTGCTAAGCAATAACAACCACAGTTGTTCTGGCCCTACACCCAGCACTCCCTCCCTCACCATACACACATATGCCTGGGAACTCAAGCACACTCACCAAATATTTTTTTAAATGAGTCAGGTAAATCTTAGCAGTTTTTCCTCAGAAACAACTTAAAATGCATATATTTATTCATTTCTTCCTTAATTTTAGAGGAGAAACACATGCTTACCATATTTCACATGTATAGACCAGAGAATAACTTGGAATCAATTCTCTCCTTCCACTATCTAGGTTCCAGGGATTGAGTGCAAGTCATCAGGCTCTGCAGCAAACACATTTACTTGCTGAGTCATCTCACTGGCCATTTTAAATGTATGTTTAAATGACTGTGTATATTACAAAATTCATAGTTTACAAAAGCAAATTCAAAAAAATCTAATTCTTAAATCCAGCATCACTGGCCATGCAGTTTCTTCATCTCCATGAAGATAGCTAGTGTTACTGCATCATTCTCTTTGTCTCTGTCTTCCTCTCATTTACACCCCTGTACATCCACCTTCAAATCTCCAAGGTATATGTATGTAAATACAACAGATACCTTTCTGCTATTATGTAACTTTCTTTTGTATACTAAAACCATATTATAAATGTTTTAGTATTGTTTTCTGGAGACAGGGTTTCTGTGTATAGCCTTGGCTCTCCTGGAGCTTGCCCTGCAGATAAGGCTGAACTCAGACTCACAGAGATCCACCTGCCTCCATCTCCAGAGTGCTGAGATTAAAGGTGTGTACTATTACCACTTGGCTAGAAGTTTCTTATCATATTTAACAATTTATACCTTTTCATAGGTAAAATCTACATATTTAAGTGCACATATCTTTTTCTAAGTTGCTTGAGGATTTTGTACAATGTATTTTGATCATATTTACATCCTCTTCCAACTCCTTCCAGACCCACTCCCATTTTCTTACTCAATTTCATGGTCTTAAATGTTATGTCGTAAAATATTACCTCTGTCTTAGTTACAGTTCTATGATCATGAAGAAACACTTTGACCACCTCTTCTAAAAGAAAGCATTTATTTGGGGGTTTACTTAAGTTTCAGAAGCTTAGTCCAGTATTATCATGGCAGGAAGCATGGCAGCATGCAGGCAGGTGCTGGGGCAGTAGCTGAGAACTATATCCTGATCTGGAGGCAGAGGCAGAGCAAAAATGACTGGGCCTGGCCTAGGATTTTGAAACCTTAAAATATATCCCCAGTGACAAACTGGCTCGAACAAGGCCATACTTACTAATCCTTCCCATAGTGTCATTCCCTGGTGATTAAGTATTCAAGTATATGAGCTTACCAGGGCCATTCTTTCTTACATTCCACTCCCTAGCTCCTACAGGCTTATAGTCATATCATAATAAAAAATGTGTTTTGTCCAACTTTAAAAGTTCCCATATTCTTTCACATTATCATCACTGTTTAAGAGCCACAAGTTCAAAGTCTTTTTTGAGTCTCATGGCAATAACTTAACTGTAACCCCCTATAAAATCAAAAATAAACAAGCAAATCACACACCTTCAACATAAAGCAGTGCAGAATATACATTATCATTCCAAAGAGGACTAAACAAAGCATAATGAGGAAATGCTAGACCAAAGCAAAAAGAAAAGCAAGTGGGTAAACTCCAGATTCTGTATCTCCATGTTTGATGTCAAAGCCCTCTCATACCTTCAATTACTTTCAGGTTTGTTGACTGCAACACACTTCACTGATTCCACATAGTTCTCCTTCCAGATATCCCATGACTCTGGCATCTCCAAAATGTTTCATTCTCCCACACAATCCAGGCTTCACCCTCACATCTTCACACAATGGCCTCTATGATCCTTCATGCGGGCACACCACTGACACACACCTGGCCTCAGCATCTTCCCTTAGCCACAGAGGGAGATTCCACAAGCCCTTTCTAGTATTCTTGACTTTCAAACCAGAACCATGTGACCAAAGCTTCAAGTTCTGTTGATTGCTGGGGTAAGAACATGGCCTCCCTTTTCAATTACATCTTAATCAGTTTTCTGTTTTTTATGTTGGCCTTTACTGTTTAAGCTTTTTTAAAAGTTCTTTTTCACAACTGGGAAGCTTAGCTGGGTGGGGTCTTGCCCTTAGCTCACCATTTCCTTTATTCCATTTAGCATCAGGCTTTTCTTTAAACATTTTGTCTCCTAGAACATAGGACTTAGCTCTATTATATTTTCTGGTAATCCTTTTCTCCTCAAACAATACATTTTGTATTTTTACTTACTCAGCTTTCTTCTTTTCATTATATATCTGGCCACAAATAAACATATGGCATAGTAAAAAAAAAATAGGCTGTCTTGAAATCTTCTCTTTGAACACTGCTAATGCAAAACTCTTCAATTTAGCCTCAGACATATTTTCAAAACAAGGGCCAAAACCAGCCACATTCTTTGCCAAAATATCACAAGAGTGGTCTCTAGTACACTTAACTAATATTCTTCCTCTTTGAAACTTCTTGGATTGGTCCCCTATTGTTCAAATCACCCTCAGCCTTGCCTTACATGCTCCTACTAGGATGACCCATTAAGCCCTCTTAAAGTGTCCAGTGGCTTTTGGGGTCCAAAGTTACAATGTCTTCCACATCCTTCCAAAAAATCAGTAGGATCAGACCTGTCAAAGCAAAACCCTAGTTCCTGGTACCAACTTCTGTCTTAGTCACTGTGGAGAGAAACTATGACCAAGGCATCTCTTTTAAAAGGAAGCATTTAATTTGGGACTTGCTTACAGCTTCAGGGGCTAAATCCATTGTCATCATAGCAGAGAACATGATGTCAGGCAGTCAGGCATTGGGGAAGTAGCTGAGGGCTATATTCTAATATTTAGGCTAAGAGGCAGTGTGAGAGAGACTGGGCCTGGCACAGGCTTTTGAAACATCAAAGCTCACACCCAGTGACACACTTCTTCCAATAAGGCCATACCTTTTAATCCTTCTTAAATAGTGCCACTCCTTGGTGCCTAAGCATTTATATATATGAGCCTATAGGGGCATTATTCATCAATTACAACCTCACTGCATGAATAAAACATTTATTATTATTAAAGTTTTGCTGGTTATTCTTTCCTGGAAAGCTAAATCTCTAAAGGGAATAGTGTTTTGTTTTCACCAGTATAGATTACTTTTGCCTATTTTTCAATTAACATGATTAAAATCACAATGTGTGTCTGGCTTCTTATGTATGTCATAGTGGTATTGACATTCATTTGTGCAGTTCTGATGGGCAGAACATTAAAACATTATGGAATGTTTTTAAATATGTTCTTCATATTTTTAATATAATCCATTAGATGGGCAGATTAATAACTTTTTAAATCCAGTCTCCTACTGATAGATATCTGAGTAGTACCCAGTTTTCAGCTTTTTTGATGTTGACATATCTCTGATATAATTATCTAAAAAGTGGATTTTTTTCATCATAGAATAGAATTTTGCTTAACTTTATAATTGCTAAAGAATCTTCTAGAATTGTTTTCCTTCCCAATTAATGATATATGAAACTTCTACAATCCATTGTCAGATACATGGGAAATTGACAATCTTTTAAATTTTTGATAATTTTTATGGATATCTTTTTCATTTAAAATTGTAATAAGGTTTTTTGAATACTTAATATATGAGCACTGGATCTACCTCACTCTGACCCCACACTCCTCCCCTTCCAGCTGCTCCCCTCTTCTCCAATCCACAATCTCTTTAAAAACTATTATTGTTGTATGTATATATACACATTATATATAACCTACTGAGTACATTTATCTTTACTCATATGTGCATGTGTCCAAGGATGACAACTTGGGAATGGAAAATATAGTGAGAATCTGTCCCTGGAAGAAACTGTTTCTTCCTCTCTCAGCAGCCTTTAACCTCCTGGATCTTTTTGTTTAAGGTTAGGACCATGTGGAATTTCCCCGGCCTCTCTAACATACCTACTAATATTGGTGTTTTTATAACATTGGTCTTGTGTCCGGCAACCAAGTTCATGAGAATTCCTAAATGCACTTCCCTATTTAATCTAGGAGATGCTACCTACCCCCAGATATCCAGGGCCTCTGATTCTAACAGTCTTTCTTCTCATTAAGGGAGGGTCTCACTATGTAGCTCATGTCCAGTTGTCCATGCCTGAATCACTGCATCCAGAGAGGCAGAGAAATGTGGATCTCTAGTGCAAGGTCAATCCAAGTTAAATAATGTCCATATGAGTGCCAGGCAGTATTTTATCATGACTTTAAAATAAAATTTATTCACTTTATTAGGTAACTTTTCATGAGATTATTCAGTTGAAAATCCATGTAATGGTTATAATTACAGACTCATGGGAAACTTATAAATGTAATAATCTTCATATATTTTATTAAAATATTTTTTGAAGATTGTATACATTTGTACAATGTATTTTGATCATATCTATCCATTACCACCTCTCTCCAACTACCTCTAATCCCTCCACTACATATTA